ACAAGAAACAAATGAGTTCCCAAGAAGGTAATAAAGGTACTTCCGCACTGTGGAATAGTGGGGTGCCATTTGACTCAAAGGGGTGTCCAAGGGTGCATTTGAATGATACAAGTGATGTTGCCCCAAGGCACTTAGAGGCACTAGGTTTGCTGACTCAGGGAGCCAGGCTGAGGTTTATGGGGGGGAGGGGGGCAGCAGAGTGCCTCAGGCACTTAGCAGCAGCACTTAGACGCATTGTAACATCATCCAAGCCAGGCAGAGCCCGGGCTGCAGGTTGAGAGGCCAAGAAACAGAAAGAGGCATGCTTGCATCCACTGCTATGAAGAGGCACTCTTTAGAAGAAGCAGTCCTTACTGGACAAATTGTATCCTGAGCATTTGATCTTGACACATAACCTGTTAACATCCCTTATAAATCCCAGAATCATGAGTTCTATGTGGCCATTGCAATAGATGATCAACAATCCATCTGAAAATGGTGTTGTTCATTAACTGTGACCCATACCTTATGAAATTAAATTTTTACCTCACTTGTGAGTTGAGGTATGTTTTTGCAGATATACACAAGTATGTATCTAACATAAGAAATCGGAAAGAATAGAGTTGTTAGGATGTCCACAAATGAAAAAATAAACGTTATGGAAAAACAAACATGTTACAGAAAAACATGTATGACATACTGTATTTCAATTTTTAAAAGCTTCAATTATAGGAATATGCATCAATATTTTAAGTGCAAGAGAAAGTTGTGGAAAGTAGTCACAGAGTCATTTGTGCAGGTTAAACAGAGCTGCGAGTAGAGGACTAAATTACTAACTTTGCCCTTTTATCTCTCTGCATTATATGGCTTCACTGATTACAATAAGTAAAAAAAATCCTTCTGAAATATGAAAACATAAGTAATGACAATGAGGGTAAATAAAATAAAATAAAAGAAACTATGTAAAATTAGTACCTTCCCGGGGGAGAAAGGAGGAATCAAATGCAATAATCGATGTATAACCCCACCCCCTCCCCAGGGAGATGAATAGAAACGTGGGTGAAGGGAGACAGCAGACAGTGCAAGATATGAAAGTAATAATAATTTATAACTTATCAAGGGTTCATAAGAGTGGGAAGGTGTCCCGACACAACCGCTGAAGACAAAGCAGGTGAATGAGCAAATGTGGTGAAGAAGGATGATGGTGCCCGGCTATCAAAGGATATAGCGTCTGGGGTCTTAAGGGCTTGAAGGTAAACAAGCGGCCATCTAGCTCAGAAGCAACAAAGCCCACATGGAACAA